GCGTCGGTGATTCACCTCGGATTGGCCGATTTCGGCCGTTTCCGATAGAATTCGGCCATGCTTGCATCGGTCCATGCAGTAAAACAACCCTAGGGCCCTCGGGGGGCCAAATAAGTATGAAAACTCGAAGGTTACCAGCTACGGTGCTCTTGGGTGTGTCGACTCTCCCACGGGGTTCTTGTCTTGGTGATTTGGCTCCGATCAACGTGTAGCGAAAATAATGGTGATCCCGGTGATATAAAACTTGTTTCAAACGGAGGCAGAAAAGGGCCTCATCGGAGGCAAAAATCGAGGAGGGGTGCGGCGGCGCCGCTGGGTTTCGGCCGTTTGGCCGGGATTTAGGCTCCAAGCAAGACACCTCCCCCCCCCCCCCCCCGCCGCGTGTCTGCAACGACCCAAAAACCTTTCCAAAAAGAAAATGCAGAGGCGATAACGAAGGTATTACCTGTTGATCAGAAAATAATCCTTAGACTGAGTTTACGAGGCTTATTGAGCTTCGAGCGGCGTATTATTTGCAGAGGCTGGATACGTTGGAGAAGAATTTGAGAAGAAACCTGGAAAAATGGAGAGAAAGAAAAGGAACTCGCGTGTTTTTGACGGACATTAGTGCGAATTTGATGATTTCTCCGGGGTATTTTTTTGAAAAAACAGAAAGTATAATTGTTCTTAGGAAAAAAATAGGATATTTTTATTTTTTCAGATGCTGCCATTATAAATAGGAAAAATAAAAATGAATTTATATATTTCTATTCATAAAATTATATAAGTTAAATGTCATAAATAAATAAAATTATTTTTTAAAAAAGCATATATACCCATCATGTCAATACATTTGTTACATAACTTTTAAGAATCATATAATATTTTGCTAATTTTAATAAAATAATAAAACCTTATGTTAAAAAATAAAATAAACATAAAATGATATGACAAGCTACTTGTTAATACGAAGTAGCTTTGTTCTTATATTTTAATATACGTAGGTTTCTCGATCTACTATGATATAAATAAAGTATTGGGTAATATCAATCAATATCAGTATATATATATATATATAAATATATTATCAATAAAAAAATTAAAAATTGACCGTATTAATTTTTTAAATATTTTTATATTAATATAATAATAAATTAATTAATATAATAAAAATAATAATTATTTATTTATTAAATATAATATTATACACTGTATAAATGTTTAACGACCTACTTTCTCTTTACATCTCATTCACTTTACAAAATTTTTATAAATACTTAAAATATAATAGTTTTTTTTATATATTTATTAAAAATTTCTTTATTTGTAATGTCTGTTCCGAAATTTAGTCCGACATTAATTTTAAAATTTTAAAAAATATATAAAACTATAATTTATAAATTTATAAATTTTGTTTAATGTAAAATTATGAAAAAAAATAGGTTGAGAATGAAATTAAAAATAATTTTTAAAAAATCGAGTAAAAATTTGGATTCGAATGATATTTTTAAAAGAAAAATCAGAAACTGATAGTTAAAACGTAATTAAAGAAAATTGTACCACGTAGGACCATTCCATCAGCAGTTCTGACAAACCAGAGCGCGCCGCGTGCAAAATATACTAACTCGGTGATATGCGGGAGACGACACCAGTAATCCATGTGTCCGCAATCGGACAGCCCGGATGCGTTCTCGCGCGCGTAGATGATTTGGATCCGTTCCCTCTTTAGGCGTAATCAGACGGTCACGATTAAATGCGATGAACGGTTCAGATTCATTCTATCTTTAAATGCGATCGTATGGTCAAGATCAAATTGCGATGAACGGTCCAGATTTATTTTTTCTTTAAACGCGATCGGATGGTCGAGATCAAACGCGATGAAAGGTTCAGATTTAAGGGAGACGAGAATAAATATCTCACATCACAGTGAACCTGTAGCGCCCGTAAAGGAGGAGGAAAAAAAAAAAAAAAAAAAAAAAGGGGGGGCCACGTCAGCAGCCACGTCAGCAGGCCCGGTCAGCAGTCCCGGCCAACCGGGGCCTGCCACGTGGCAAGATCGCGTCACTCCAAAAGGAGCCACGTTGGCGATCCGCGTGGGTGCGATCCGACGGCCCAGATCAATCACGCGATCGGACGGCCCAGATTCAAACGCACGGACGGCCCAGATTCAATCAAAAACGAACGGCCCAGATTAAAACGAAACGAACGGCTGTGATCAAAAGGCAAGGGGTTATAAATAGAACCCCCACACCAGACCAAAAACCCTAGCCGCCAGCCGCTCGCCGGAGAAGACGAACCAGAGGCCGACCGCCGCCACCCGCCGCCACTCGCCGCCGCACCGGGGAAATTTCCGACCGCCGATCGAGGTAAATTTCATACCCCCGACTCGTTTTTTCCCACTGATTCCTCCTATGGCCAAATCGAAGCCGAAATCCCGGCCAAACGGCCGGAATACGCGGCCGAAGCCCAGCGGCGCCGCCGCGCCCCCTCTCGGTTTTTGCCTCCGACGAGGCCCTTCCCGGCCTCCGTTCGATGCAATTTTTATATCACCGTGATCACCATTCTTTTCTCTACAGGTTGACCGAAGCCAAATCACCAAAACACGAACTTCGCCGGAGAGTCGCCGTACCCG